GGCCCCACCCTACCCCCCGGGGGTCATGATTTGGACAAACTTGAATCTACACTACCTGAGGATGATTTCATATCAGTATGACTAATTGTGGCTTTGTTGTTCTTGAGAAGAAGATTTTTAAAGAATTTTCCTATATATTCCTATGTAAAACTTTGATCCCCCATTGTGGCCCCACCCGACCCCCGGGGGTCATGATTTGAACAAACTTAAATCTACACTACCTGAGGATGATTTCATATCAATATGACTAATTGTGGCTTTGTTGTTCTTGAGAAGAAGATTTTTAGAGAATTTTCCTATGTATTCCTATGTAAAACTTTGATCCCCCATTGTGGCCCCACCCTACCCCCCGGGGTCATGATTTGAACAAACGAAAATCTACACTACCTGAGGATGATTTCATATCAATATGACTAATTGTGGCTTTGTTGTTCTTAAGAAGAAGATTTTAAAGAATTTTCCTATATATTCCTATGTAAAACTTTGATCCTCCATTGTGGCCCCACCCTACCCCCCGGGGGTCATGATTTGGACAAACTTGAATCTACACCACCTGAGGATGATTTCATATCAGTATGACTAATTGTGGCTTTGTTGTTCTTGAGAAGAAGATTTTTAAAGAATTTTCCTATATATTCCTATGTAAAACTTTGATCCCCCATTGTGGCCCCACCCGACCCCCGGGGGTCATGATTTGAACAAACTTAAATCTACACTACCTGAGGATGATTTCATATCAATATGACTAATTGTGGCTTTGTTGTTCTTGAGAAGAAGATTTTTAGAGAATTTTCCTATGTATTCCTATGTAAAACTTTGATCCCCCATTGTGGCCCCACCCTACCCCCCGGGGTCATGATTTGAACAAACTAAAATCTACACTACCTGAGGATGATTTCATATCAATATGACTAATTGTGGCTTTGTTGTTCTTAAGAAGAAGATTTTTAAAGAATTTTCCTATATATTCCTATGTAAAACTTTGATCCCCCATTGTGGCCCCATCCAACCCCCGGGGGTCATGATTTGAACAAACGAAAATCTACACTACCTGAGGATGATTTCATATCAATATGACTAATTGTGGCTTTGTTGTTCTTGAGAAGAAGATTTTTAAAGAATTTTCCTATGTATTCCTATGTAAAACTTTGATCCCCCATAATGGCCCCACCCTACCCCTGGGGGTCAAGATTTGAAGAAACTTGAATCTACACTATGTAATGAAGGTTTCCCATAAGTTTCAACTTTTCTGGCCCAATGGTTCTTGAGAAGAAGATTTTTAAAAGAAGACACCAAATTTTCACTTATTCTTAATTACCTCCCCTTGGAAGAGGGCATGGCCCTTCATTTGAACAAACTTGAACCCCCTTCACCCAAGGATGCTTTGTGGCAAGTTTGGTTGAAAATGGCGCAGTGGTTCTGGAGAAGTCGAAAATGTGAAAAGTTTACAGAGGGACGAACGGACGGACAGATGGACAGACGGACTACGGACAAAATGTGATCAGAAAAGCTCACTTGAGCTTTCAGCTCAGGTGAGCTAAAAACGTCAAAGTTGTTGGTATCCAAAGGAAGGTCTTGTCAGGAGGATTACACAAGTGAAGTATGAAAGCCCTAGCTCTAACCGTTCAAAAGTTATGGCCAAGGTTAAAGTTTGGTAAAATTTTGAAAAACTGGGTCAAACTCCAAGTTCAAGGTCAAAAGGTCAGATACAGTGGTGTCCAAAGAAAGGTCTTGTCACAAGGAATACACATGTGAAATATGAAAGCCATAGCTCCAACCAATCAAAAGTTATGGGCAAGGTTAAAGTTTTTGCGGACAAACAGACAGACAGACAGACGGACAGACAGGGCAAAAACTATATACCCCGAATCTTCAATACGGGGGCATAAAAACGTAACTTCACTTTTTAAATTTTTATTTATATAATATAAATGCATGTTTGAATGCCATTGTTTAACTGTTTACAACATTTTTTACACTTCCTGTAATTGATATTTAATAGCTTGAACAAATAAATGAATAATTTTTTGGAATGTATGATTATGTACCAAATACTGCTATTTTAGTCTGCGTATCACGATACGTATCACACAATAAAGAATCACGATATATTGGTATACCAATGAAATTGTGCATCCCTATTCAACTCTCAAGTCCAAGTTCATTTATTCACTCAAACCATTTTAAACATAAGGTATATGAGGATAATGTATATGAATTCAACAACAAAGCATTCTCAACTTTTCCCCCCATTTTATTTAATTTATTTTTTCTTTTAGCAAAATTTAAAGGGTATAAATTTCATAGTACATGTAGTAATTTTTTTTGTTTTCTAAAGAATATGTTTTCTATTCATATATTGTAATTTGAAGTAAATGTTTCTTCTTATTACTTTAAGACAGCTAGCAACTGCTTGTATTTTCTGTTTGTTTTTGAAGTTTGACTCAATGTAATTAAGCAGCAAGAAAATCAAACTTTTTGGGGGGTGGGAGTGGGACCGAACCTTGCATTTTTCTTTGAAAATTGGAAATGCAGTACATGTACGTTGTGGTATAGATAACTGATTCCAGAAATCCAAAGCAGCAGTGTGATATTTTATTTTTGTGCCATTTCCACTCATTTTTTTTTAATTTCACATTCTTTCATGGACTTTCATATATTTAAAACTTGCATGTCAGCTAGGGCTTCATGTCACCATGACACATCTAGTTTTTTTGAATTATCATTATTATTAAATTGTATTGCTTGATCCATATTGGTGTAATATGCATTAAAGATCATATTATCTAGTTATTATGCATACATATTCAGAGCTCCAGATAATTTTTTACCCCAAAGTGTATTTACTCTCTGATTTTCAAATCAATGCAGATTTTGATTTTTATCAAAATGATTTAAGAGTATTGTGTTAATATATAAATGTTTTGACATCTATTTTGATTTTGAGCTTGTTATCGAAATATGAGAGTTTTAGAAGAGGAAAGGAAAAAAAACTACAAAAGACAGTTCCTGCATTCATTTAAATAGTTTTTGACAAGGAAGAGCATATTGTGGGTAAAATTACCATAGGCACTTAAAACTTTTCCTCCATTTAAGATGATATCGTAACAAGAGTAAACCGAGAGAAAAAAAATCTTCATTAAAAATGGCATGTTGAGAGAAATCAGAAATTGGCAATGAACTCATCATAAAAAAAGCTACGTACAAACCGTGTGTAACCGTCCTACTAAACAGAAAACTCTAGAGAATCGCAGAGAACTCTTGATCGGTAAATTCAAATACATGTTATGCGTAATGTCTCACTACAGCAATTTATTTATTTAATTGGTCTTGAAATTAAACAGAGCTGGTTTTTTATATACTAGTATGGTTTTAATATGGTCTTCACAGGGTTTTTTTCTTACACATCATGTCTATTTCGATAACATTGCAGTTTAAACTTTATTCTCCAGCTAAGACTTTTTTCCTCCAACTACCGTTTGTTTTCTAGGTACACGTAACATTGTTTTCTTTACGTATGTATTACACTATCATCTTATGTAGACGACACAAGCTTTTGTGTGCTTAAAAACATGTTACTATGCCTAGAACATAGTCTTACTATTCAAAGAAATCGATTTTAATCTATATCTTTGATTATTTCTCCATAAATGGAAATTGTCGTCGCCATAACTAGAATATTCCTGGTTATTAAAACTCTTTTAAATCAGTACTTCGTTTTGAGAAAAATCAAACACTGAGTTAACCTCAATTCATATCGTTAGCTAAGTCGTACTTTTATTATTCAACCCGTAGTACGCAGTACTTTCGTGGTGAAATGCTTACCTGCGATTGCTAATGCGTAACTGTACGCCCAGTTTTAATTTTCAATGCGTATTTTGTAAAATTCAATGCGTATTTCTGCAAATACGCACCTTATCTGGAGCTCTGCATATTAGTGATGGGCAATCAGAATTTTTTCATAATCAAATATCAGGATAATCAGACTCGATCACTATAATAAATTAATAATCGATTGATTTCATGTATTAAATTTGTTCAATTTTGAATGAAGAATAAATTGGTGAAAAATTCTGGAGTGATTTCTAAAATGTATTTTTGATGTTTTGTATCATTGGATTCATTTATTAAATTATTACTTAGGATTTAGTTACATTCAAATTTCAAAGAAGAATGAATATAGATCCGTCGTTGTTTATTAGGATCTATCACTATACTGCCTTTGTGTTAGTTATAGTAATAAAAAATAATGCATAAGAGCCATATATCAAAAAGAAATATTGGCAGTTGGCTTTAAGTATTTCAATACAGGAATAGTCAATTATTTATCAAGATTGATGTTTAATAAAGGATTTTTACAAATATACGAAAAAGTCTATGGCTGATAATGTTATAATTAAGGATTGGTTTACCAAATGCATATGTGCACAACTTACTATACAAACAAAAATCAACATTGGCTTTTAAAAACTGAGAAGCTGTGCACCAAGAAATCGACTTTTGAACCTTTCTCCTTTAGACCACCATTTAATAGGACATGCACAATCGATGAATTGCAAATCAATGATAACTAATCTTAACAATTCATTTTCAATAAATTGAAATAATTACAAAGGAAATGAAATTGCTATTAATTAGGATCATATAAATGTTATCAGATTCTGTCCGTAGATTACCTGATCGTTACAATAGCCTGTGATAATATATATTTACTAATTCTATCTGTCATTTCAATTTAAAAAAATAACACGATGTATATTTTTATACATAAATGAAACATCTTAAAGATAAATAATCAAAACAGACATCACTAATTACCTGATTATATAACAACACACCGACTCCACTTCACAATTGGTTTTTTTTTTTTTAACATTTTACGTTCCCAAACACAAGATACGCATATTTTCCATCCCTTCGTTAAAAAAAAGATGGACTTCACATTTTTTATCATCTTCATATGCATTTTAAAAAATTAAATATCTCGTATTCATACTTACCAACACTGGTAACTGATTCAAAAAAGACAATGTATGAGATACTAATCCATTGGCATACAGGTAAATGTAAGAAAATTCGGGATTTAGCTCGCGACAGATTATTGACGTCACCATTAGCAACTCTAAAGGGGTAAGTGTAAAAGTAGTCAAAAGAGATTCATTAATTCCGGAATAATTTTTTGGAAATAAATATGCCAACTTGAGCATTAGTTAAAAAAAAAAAAAAAGTAACTAGAAAGTCTGCTATTGAAAGCAATAGCGTATGTCGCCCCGAACTGTCTTTATCAGAAATGGTCTTAAAGTGTATTATTCTGTTCTATTAATAATAATTTTGATTTCCTCAAAAAACCTCTTTTGTTTTATTTCTGATTGATGAACATGAAATACATCAGAACACAGATGTTTATACATGTAACTGACACTAACATATCCGGAGAATCGGATTGTATTGAACGAATAAGATCGCTAGTTTTTAGTCAGTACTGATGCCGGAAATAATTTAACTATAACAAGTGGTTTATATTAAGATGAAGTAATCGTAAATAAGATGATTAACACACACGCAACAGAAAAAAGCATCACGGCAGCGGAATATAAACTCATATATTAGGGAAACTTGATTTACAAAAAGTAAAGGAGATGGGCGAACATAGCGTGCAGAAAGCCTATAGCTTCAGAAATATAAAAATCATGTTCAGTTTGTGAATTTAATATTTAGAGTAAAGTTCTCATTATTGAAATTTATAAAATTGTGATAAACAACACTTTTCTGGGGAAAATTTTCTCAACAAAATTTATTCTTTAATTTAAAAAATTAATGTGGTATTCGTGGCGTTCGAACCCTAGCAATAAAAATCCTGAGTATCATTTTCTTTCGAGACTAGCACGCTAACCACTAGACTACACAAGTCCTGACGAACAGTGGCATTTAAATCATGTTTGTGATATGACCCTTGACTTAATGGACTTCAAGTATTTCTCGAAAAGATGCGAATGTTATGTCATAAAAGTATATTTTTAAGGTATAGTGGGTCATTGCTCCATATTTTTGGTAACCAAAAAATGTATATTTTTATGCAAACTTTGAGGATTAACTTTCAAAAAGGTGGAGCGAAGACCCACTCATATCGAAAAATAGTGTTATAGTATGAGAAAATGACTCTTTTTGCCCGCTTTAGTGTTGTCTAATATTTCACAGGCAAATAAGTTCAATCTTTGAGGGATTTTTGCAAATTGTAGAGATTTTACATAAAGTATATTTTAATGTTAGACGAAATATCAAGGAAAATTTTGATATAATTGAAATTTAATTTTTCATCTTCATGTGTGTTCCACTATAGGCTTATCGCTCGTCATGTTCACCCATCTCCTTTTAAATCTCTGCTCATCAGTACAGAAATTCAGCGATTAACTAACTGAGTCAAAGGCAAGCACATTTCCATGAAAATTTATTTTGGGTCTTTAGTAGATTTAAAGTCAATCAGAGGTTGATTTCGGGTTAAGAGAAATATTTTATGTTGTTGTTATTCTTGTGAGGCGCGTGCTTGTGTGTGTGTAAGGGGGAGGGTAGTAAAAATGTACAATAACTTTTTTGACTTTACATTTATTAGTTAACAGGATTTTAAAAAATAAAATATCCCATGCACAACTATGGTTGGTGATTTTTATTTCTGTAACGTTTCATGAAGATTTTGAAAGCCATCTACGAGAACGCTCGAGTACAAAACTAAGGTGAATAAAAATACGACTTCGTTCCGGTGGCTGAAGAGATGGGCCTGCTCCAATTTTTTAACGGAAAACAATTTGATCCAGTAGAAGGAATAAATCTTTAAAGTTTCCAGAAGATTGCTTGCGTACTTCTTGGGAAAAATAGAAATTAAAGAATTTTCACTTTTCGTCCGTTTCCATGGCAACGGTAGGAATTTAGAAAAAATTGAATGTTGACTGCACACCTAGAGTTTCTAATTATAATTTCTGTAAAGTTTCATCAAGATTGTCCATGCCACCTCTGAGAACATATATGAGCATAATAACTTTTTTCTGTTTTGTTTCTATGGTAACTGTGTGCCGCCCAATCCAGGTTTTTTTAAAAAGTAGAAATCACTTTGACACAATGCAAGGAATCACCCATGAAAGTTTCAGAATGATTGCTTGAGCAGTTACTGAGAAAATTGAAGTTAAAGAATTTTCTCTTTTCCTCTGTTTCCATGGCAACAATTGACAATTTGATGAAAAAGTGGAAATGTATCATTAGGAATTTTTAAAATATAATTTTGCGAGTAGCAGAGTGACAAAATCCTACTGACTTGCAAACATTCTTATATCAAGTTGATTCAAGTTTGTTTGAAATATGGACACTGGGGTTGGAGTGGGTTAAAACTTGAGATAAACTTTTACAAAATACAGGTATTTAGAGCGGAAACGTAGAAAAAAACTTCCTGTCCAGAACTGTAAGGTCATGTTAGTCACATTGATATTTAGAATATCCATGCATTGTGCATTTAGTTTGGTTGAGCCATGCCTCACTGAGACTAGGAAAATGCCATATTACGGAGTCAAAGTTATTCATCGGGTTATAGTGGAGGGATCTGAAAATTCGAAACTAAAGTGACTCAGGTGAGCGTTGTGGTCCATGGACCTCTTGTTATATGACTTTATTTTAATATCTCTATTTCTTACTTTCCCGTTAAAAAATTATATAAAAGCTTCCCAATATACCAAAGAATCAAGTTTTGTTCTAGTCATGGCCTAAGGCTAGGTATCTATCACAAAAAAGTCAAGATTTACATACTTTTAAGGAATTAACACAATTTTTAAGAATCTTCTTTTCGACAAAAGCAGGACCACGATCAGTCAAATTAATGTGCAAGTATCCTCATTTATTGCTGAATCAGTTTTGTTCCAATCAGCTGGCAACGGACAGCTGATGGAAGAACTATAATAGGGTTTTAAATAAGAATACTTACGAGTACAGGTACTAAACAAATCCCCCCATGGCAAGCCCTTTTGATATTTATTCGGAAAATAAAATATTTCTTAAAATTACAGAGATATCTCTCAACTTTAAGAGAGATCTCTTACACTTAAAGAGATATCTCTTTCACTTAGAGCGATATCTCTTTTTCTTTGAGAGATATCTCCTCCAATTAAAGAGATATCTTTTTCCCTCTGACAGATACTTTGCCATACCCCAATTGCCAATTTATCGTACTGATCAAATAGTAACGTAGATGTAAATAGACCTTCACGGTAACAAGAATCCATTATTTTTTAATTTGATGTTTTTTTTTTAATACCAGCTATATTGTAGATTAAAATTGTTCATTACAACCATCAAGTTTAGGATTTCATGCCAATGTTTATTTGTCACGAAGAGACTCGGCTGAGCATTGCAACCGATGGGTTTCTTAATTATCATAATCCGACACCTAAACGCTGTATGTTACGACAGACAGTTGCTTTATTATAGGTTCATCAACAGTATTACTTTTTGGGGATTTTTTCCCCAAATCTTGACTAGTATCATCATCCATTTTTGGTTATCATTGAACCTCTGATGGAATTCGATCAGCTGCTGCATGGCACTATTCCATATTCATGTGTTTTTATTATCTTTCCTAACGATCTCAACCTTGGTGACAATTGATAAAGATTATTTTCTAGCATGGTTTCTCAGTTCTGATACGTTTTACTACCGTTTGAGAGACCTGCCTTGCTAATGGTTGTACCATTCATTCAATAGATTTTTTCCCCTGATAGTTTTTCTGTATTGCTTTAACGGGTTCTTGTACAGTACGTTTTAATTGCAGGCATTTTACAACTTTCTTGGGATTTCTAAATAAGTATTTTATTAAGCTTTGCTCTGTTTTGCTGTTCGGGTTTATTATTTTCTCTTTATTTCTGTAGTGGCCATTTATATTTTGTATTTCGTTTTATAGGCTTTTCTGATTGTCATAATCTTTCTACGATTCTCGCAGCTAAGACCTAGTTTTATTCCTAAAAAAGAGAGAAATAGAGCTACCTTTTCATTCACAGAACAAAAATTGCTTTTAAAAATTCAAGAAAAAAATGATACATTTCAATATATGTCCAACCTAGCCCCCCCCCCCCCTCCCCGGGCCTGATTCGTGGTCATATTAAGGAGGCATCAATTTTTTTTCAATTTTATTTTGTACAGGACTAGCTACTCTTATAACCATAGAAACAATTTGCTTCCTAGACAAAAGAGTTACTTTCAATAAATGTATGACCAGCTTGGCCCGAGCCTGTGGTCTGAACCATGCATTAGCCAAGAGACCAAAAATTTAAAAGAAAATCGATATAAGGTTAATTATAATCAAGCAAGAATTTTGTATGCAGATGTCCATGACGTCGACTAAATAAGATTTTCAAAGGTGTAATGCATTTCAGATTATGATCAATTTAGCTCCACCCTGAGGCCTAAATTCTGGACCCTGGAGGCATCAAATTCATTACTCTGGTAATAGGTTAAGTACTAATTGCAATTATGCAGTTTGCCATGATACATGTCCATTGGTCAAGAAAAATATTTTTCAAAGTTGTTATATACCTTTTCAATGTATGACCAACTTAGCCCCACCATTTGGCCTTGGACTTGAAACTTGAGCCTTAAAAAAGGGGGATGAAATTTACAAAGAAGATGGGCGAACAAGGCTAGCGAAATGCCTATGGTGCGACAAATACAAAGATGAAAAATTGAATATCAATTATAACACAATTTTCTTTAATATTTCATAAACACATTAAAGTATACTTTATGTAAAATCTCCACAATTTAAAGATTGAAATTATTTGTCTATGAAATAGCATACCAAAGAAGGAAAAAAGGATCATTTTCTCATACATGTATTATAAGACCATTTTTCCATATGAGTGGCTCTCCGCTCAATTTTCTTTTTTGGAAAGTATATCCCCAACGTATGCGTAAAAATATACATTTTTGGTTAACAAAAACACGGAGCATAGACCCACTATACCTTAAAAATACACTTTTATGACATAGCATTCGTATACTTCAGAGAAATACCTGAAGTCCATTTAGTCAAGGGTCTTGTCACAGATATGATTTAAATGCCGCTATTTATCAAAAGCTGTGTAGTGGTTAGCGTGTTAGTCTCAAAGAAAAAAAAACTGATGCTCAGGTATTTTATTGGTAGAGGTTCGAACTCCAAGAACACCAAATAATGTTTTTAATTTTATATAAATTTTTGCCGACAAAATTTTCTGCAGAAAAGTTTTGTCATAATTTCATAAAATTCGATAATTATAACTCTACTCTAAATACTTAATTCACGAAATGAATATGATTTTTATATATCTGAAGCTATAGGCATTCTGCACTCCTTGTTTGCCCATCTTCTTTGCTAAAGGGTTAATTGTTCATTATAATCAAGTACACAATTTATCTTCTAGATATAAGATTTTCAGAAGTGTTGTATGTATTTTCAATATATGACCAGCTTAGCCTTGGGCCTCTGACCCAGGGAATGTGACTTTTAGGGTAATGGTAACGAGTTATCACTCATTGTAATACATGTAATTTGATCACTTTGCCCACTATAGATGTCCTTTAGGAAAGGAAAAGAATTCAAAAAAGTAATGAATTTTCATAACAAAATTAGTTCCATCCTGGAACTTGTTTCCTGAACCCACCATGTCACTACTTATGTTAATGTCTTAGGTTTTATGTGGCACTGTAAATGAGAATCAAACTTGGGCCTTCCGATCATGAAGCGAATGCCATACCACTAGGCTTCTGTGACCGCTCTCCCATTTAAAATGATGATCCCTTATTCCTGCCTTCTCGTGCCATAATTTGAACAATATTGAATCTACACTATGCAAGGAAGCTTTCATTTAAGTTTTATCTTTTCTGGCTCAGTGGTTATTGACAATATGACTCCCCCATTTTCAGCATTTTTTATTTATCTCTCCTTGAAAGAGGCCATTCATATGAAGAAACTTGGAATACCTTCACCCAAGGATGCTTTATGGCAAGTCTGATTGAATTTAGTTCAGTTTTCTGGAGCAGAAGTTGAAAATGTGAATAAAACCATAACTCATTGTTTTGAATAGATTTAATAAACAACAAAGTTACTATCATATTAATTCCATTAGGAATTTTACAAAAAAATAAAATAATTCTCAAGACTTTATGCCTAAGGCATACACAAAAACAACACAGTAGTGAACCATGTCTGCAATCTATACATTTGTACACACTATATCTAGAGAGTAATGGTTACATGCATGATTTTACACATATGGAAAAAGCTTGGATAAAATTTTGCATCTCCTTTTTACACTTTTTATACTGAATCACTTCTGACCATTGGAATGTCCATTTTATACATGTATGTTTTTTTTAAACATATATTAAGTATATATTGTAAATTATATAATCCAGTCAGGTCTTTGAAGATCTACTGGTTAAGGCTCAAAGCAGATAGGTGCATGAGGGATCATATAATATTCCCATCTAAATGTTTTGAATTGTCAGCCAAAATTTACAATAGACAGATTTAAACATAATATCATTGCAACACAATGGTAATATAAAATATTCACAATTACTTAAAATTATTCAGTTAAACAATATTCAGTTTCAATAAATTGTGTTGCTATGGTTATTAAATAGTGAGTATTAGTGACTCAAATGCAACACAAGTCACTGAAATCAAGAATCTGTTCACAATGTATACCTAATTTCATTATTCAATTGAAACTGGGGGGAAGGAAAGGATTTTGAAAAAAATATAAATTAATTTCAATTTTTAACCATTGAAACATATCATTCAATTGGATCAAAAATCAACAAAAATAATTATTATGTTTTTAAGTGTGATTTTGAAAAAAAATCCACATGGATACACAGACAGTAGAGACTTTACCATCACACATTATTCTGGTAAAACCATTCTTCTTGGTAAACCTAATTAATTTTTTTAAAATGAAAAATATAATTTTTTTGATTAAATTTTGAGCTTATCAGAAACTTTCACAACAAACTCTGTTCATCAATTCTTAAGTTTTTGCAAGTGATAGCCACACCACAATCCAAATGCAACATTTTTCTTCTTGATTAGTGTTTATTATATAATTGGTTTTAATTTGTCATTTCTTTTTATATGGAACTTCCAATCCAAGTACATGAATAAAAAAAAGGAAATTTTAATAAGAATGTACTAAATTATTTTAAAGAGGGGGATGGGGTGGGGGGGGGGGACATTGAATATATCATAAAAAATAATGTTATATACAAAAAAAACATCAAAATTGGCAAGAGAAGTTGATATTTTGATTAAATTTTGAGCTCATCAGAAACTTTCACAACAAACTCTGTTCATCAATTCTTAGAAAAGATTTTGCAAGTGATAGCCACATCACAATCCAAACTTCAAGCCAAGATAATTACTAATACCAAAGACAGTCCAAATTAATGTACTATGCAGTATGGAATGTCAAAAATATCTACTGTACTAGTTGTTCAGAAACATTGTAAAGTGACATTGTAAAAAGATGAAACGCAACCTTAATGTATAGAAAGAAGGATAAATGTTAATCTTCTTTTATTTTATTTTCATAACCTAAAATACCAATATATATACAGAAAATAAAGAATTTCTACTACAAAAATTCATCAAAACAATTCAATTTACCATACTTCATTATTTAAAAGAGAGATTTCATTATAATTATCATTAATTCATAACATTAATGCATCTTCATCAATAGGCAATCTAATCTAGTCATAAATATCACAACAGTTGATGGTTAAAATTTAAAAGCAGGGATTTACAATTTTTTACAACCTATGATATGAACACATCATTTCATGCCTTTTTTGCAATTATATGAAATGAACTGGATGTTTCAGGTGGTTCATTAACGACACCTGAAATACCAGTCAAATCATCTACAGATTCATCTCCTTCATCAAAGTCATCAGCTGGACTATCCATCATCTCATCAGATTCATCTGTATTAGAGGAAAGCAAATCTTTATCATTCATATCCATCTCAATTCCTGGATGTATCGTTTTCAAATGCCTCTTCAAGCTGGATCTTTGGTTGAAAGATTTACTGCAGATCATACATTTAAATGGCAGGTTACCTGTGTGGATTCTCATATGTTGCCACAATCTGGATTCCTCCGCAAAAGATTTGTCACAGGAATCACACTTAAATTTGAAGTCGTGGTTGTGAACTTTCTGGTGACTTTTGTAGTTTTTGGGATCTGTGAATGTCTTGTCGCAGATTTCACACTTGAACGGCCTTTCGCCCGTGTGGTGACGGAGGTGAATCTTCAGACTCTCGTTGTGATTAAACGCCTTCTCACAGAGCGTACATTTGTAAGGTTTTTCGCCTGTATGAATCCGGACATGCCTCTTCAAACTCGATCTTTCATTAAAGGTTTTTTCACAGATGTCACATTTGTATGGTCGTATGTCTGTATGAATGCGAACATGAATCTTTAAATGGTGTAATTCTTTAAAAGCTTTTTCACAGACCTCACATTTGTAAGGTCTTTCATCGGTGTGAATTCGCATGTGGTTCTTCAGTGTCTGCTGCCGGATAAATGCTTTCTTGCACACTCCACAAGTATAAGGTTTTACATCTGAATGAATCCGGACATGGGTTCTCAGATTATGTGGTTCATTAAATGTTTTCCCACACACATCACAGATGTATATGTAGGGTCTCTCTTTGGCATGGATCCTACTGTGTCTTTTAAGGCTGGAGCTCTCATTAAATGCTCTACCACAAACCTCACATTTATAAGGTCTGACATTGGTATGAATCCTGGCATGAGTCTTCAGATGGTGAGGTAGGTTGAAGGTCTTTTCACAGACATCACATTTATAAGGTCTCTGCCCTGTATGAACACTGATATGCCTCTTGAGAAGCAGAGTACTGCTGAAGGCTTTATCACAGTAATCACACTGAAGGGGGTTTTCCGTTTCTGTCTTTATAATTTCAGACCCTTCTCCCACTGACGACTGAGTAGAATATGTACCAATTTTTTGACTCTCTGGAATGTTTTGATCAAATGTCACTGACCCACCTTCTTGTCCAGAAGATCTATCCTGCAAAGTGTTAAAAATGTAAGATTCTATAAAATTCTGCTGATATGGGGTGGTCTCAAATGTCTTTCCATTATACACGTAACTGTAATCTCCTTCCTCTTTGTGCATCATGTAATGCTCTGTCAGATCAGCCTGTCTGCTAAACTTCACAAAACAAACCTCACATTTAAAATTCTCCTCCTCCTCGTCTGGTGAATCCTCTTCCATATCCAGACTATCTTCACTATACGTTATGTTGACAGGATTCCTGGCTTTTCGTCTCTTTTTTGGCTGACTTTCTTTCCTTCTATCCACACTACCAGACTCCTCTTTAGTATTTTTATCATCTGCTTTTTCCTTGTCATTTGTTTCTTTATTTTTCAGAATGTCACTGACTATCATGTTAATGGTTCTCTTTTTGGTGCTTGTCTCTGAACCTCCCTTAGCATTAACAACAGAGCTCTGAAGTTGTGTAAAACCACTATCTTCTGTTTCTTGATTTTCAAGCTGACTCTCTGTCTCTTCCACATCTTTTGGACTTGATGACCTCTCCTCATGATTTTGAATTTGTATATCACCAACACTTTGGACTTTCTTAATTTCTGAAGTAAATTGTTTTTCCTCTACATCAATATCATTTTTGTGTTGATTAGGGACATCTTTAGAAGCGGTTGAGAATCCTGTCTCTCTGATCTCAAATGCAGAAGATTCTCCAAAATTTATCTGTATAAAATGTTCTTTTCGAATGGAGCTACCTTTGCCCACATTGTTTCTATCACTTTGGAATATATTATTTATTGATGGTTCCAAACAGATTTCCTTTGAATATTCTTTTGGCTCTTTGCTGCTTTCCATGCTTTTTTTCTCCCAAGCAATTTAATTTTCTTTTAGAACACTCATATGAAGATATACACATTAGAAAACTCTGTCTTTAGTTAACCCTATCTGCACATGCCAGGAAACAATTAATTTCCTAAAATTATAAAAGAAAAAAATTTAAAAATCTATTTCAATTGAAGAGAGGTCTCTATTACCATTTTCAAAATTTTATCATATATACAAAAACATAGATGATGGCAAATGTTCAAGATTGTTGACTCGTAATGGAAAAGATATATATATATATATATATATATATATATATATATATATATATATATATATATATATATATATATATATATATATATATATATATATATATATATATTATATATATATACATATATATATATATATATATATATATATATATATAAATTTTATTATTAGTCTTTTTACTCTTTTAATTGAAAGCTTATACAGTTGACTATGTGTAGGTACTTAAAGGCACTTATGCAAATCAATTATATTAAAGTAATATATAGTTATCAGTGAAGACAATGGAAGGGGAGGGGGTGGATTCTGGATACCTGTTAGCATATATGTTCCAACCTCTTTGATTTTAAACTAAATGCTATGGTATATCTTTTTTTATTTTTATTATCATGTTACGTATGGATCTAATTCAACCAAAAATAGTTTGAGATTCATAGGCTTATATTTACATTTGCAAATGTTTTCTTTTATATAGCACTATTAAAAGCAACACGTATTTATATTCATATAAACACAGGTTCCTCGCATCATAAACGATCGACATAATTTCTCAGTGACGTCATGAAGGGTCGACGCGCAATCAATGGATCAAATACGTGCCGTTGAGTTTGAAAAATATAACATTTCACACGTTAACGATTATAATCAGGAATATATAAAATATATATAGTCATAAATGTAAATATAAGTAATAATGTATCATTTTCAAACATCTTTCGGGACATAAATATGAGTTGGTACAAGATCAAATTTACTATAAAGCCCTTTGGGCTTTATGGAATTTGATCTTGTGACCAACCCGTATTTATATCCTGATAGATGTTTAAAAATGATACATTATTTCTTAAATGTTCAATCAAAGTCAATTAAATTCAAATTCCCCAAGCTTTCTTATAAAAATATTTATTTAGAGTTATCTTTCTTTTAAAGCTCTCAAGGAGGCACAAGTTAGATGGAAATCAAAGAACTTTTGACGTAACATTTCAGCAAACTGTACCAGTACTATAGTGTTAGTGAAAAGGATTGTGATGTCGAGTTATAATATTTTTTATGGTAATATTAATTTATATTGATGTATATCAAATGATAAAAACAAATATGTACATTTACTTCATGGTATTAGAATTCATTAACCCTACTCTATATGATTTATTACGCAGTACAGTTAAGGTGCCAAATGGAAATATCGGCAAATTTTTTCGATAGAAAATACATTCTTTACAAGGATGAGCATTTCTTTTTAGGACTTTACTATTATCGGACAAAAGCAATGTGGTTGAAACCTACATGTTGAGGACGATTAGATTTCTTATTTAGACTTGTCACGTGGTTTTAGCATATATACCTGAAGTATTGAGGTCATCTATAAATTCTAATATTGCAAGGGCATAACCAAGTTAAAAATCTAAGTTTAACATATAATTATTTTCAACACTCTTTGTAGTTTGTGAAAAGTGCTGTGAACCTATACAGATTCTACTATCTAATTGCTAAAATTACATTTGTTAGACCGTATATTGAATATTCTGCTGGTCAAGTACATTAAATATAGATATTATTAATTCATTTGCAAGATTTCAACAGGTTTGCAGCACTTTTCAAATATCTTCATACTTCCTGAGTTTATGTGTAAAAGCTTGTCAAAATTCATTGAGGGTATGCCCTTGCAATATATCAATTTATTACGACCCTTCAATGAATCTGCATACAAATATACGACAGTATCACTTGTCTAGGGAATGTGCGGGAAGTATATGAATAAAATAATAAAACAGACATCGCATCCAAGTAAATGGCCTCTTATATATCTACAATTTATTTTTCATTTAATTACAAAATACATTTTTCATTGTATAAATATATTTTGATCCGCCTCTCACTGCATACAAACTGCGTCAAATTTTACGATATGACGTCACATTGACAAGTGCATTGCCATCAGTGAATTGTTTATATATTGCTGTGTGGGATTTAACCAACGACAATAATGCATGCACTAGTTAGTACTGATGTAGTTTAAAGCTATTCAACAGTTTAAAGTAGCAAATCATTTCATTTTGTGGTAATATCTGATGAACTTATATTTTTGTTTGATGTCATAGTAAGCATTTTCTGTATAAATTAGGCCCCGCCTCCTTAACTGTGCTGCGTATAAGAGAAAGAAAATAATATACATGTAGTCAAATCTAAAATTAATTTTAAAATTGACATGTTTTCCCCTTGCAAATACCCATATCATATCAAGTATTATCATGTGATGAAGGAAATAGAGATAAATGGAACCTAATAACAATAATAGAGAAAGTCTGCAGAAGCAGTTGCAACATATCCACCTACATTTCATCTTTATAGTGCCCAGATAAATGTTTTGGAGGTCCTACACACAATACCAAGGACAAGTCTTCTTTAATTGCTATTATAATATTATCTTATTACAAAACCTAAAAAGTTTATAAAGTATTTGTTTGGGGAGAAAACAGGTAGAACTGACTTCTGTGCATCATGCACAAATACCTTGCTCTATCCTCTTTAGAGAAGTGAAAAGGCATAACCTAAATCCACTACTCTTTGGAAACCCTCATGGTATGATTCTGGAAAATGTGTAAATGTTGAACCAGCGACAGTCTACACTTCAAATGACATTTTGAGTCAAATATGCCTAAATTTACGAAATGATGTGTAATTTTTCCAACGTTAGCATAAAAACATGTTCTTTTTTCTTTAACCAGAAAACCAACACTCAGTCTGATTGTTGATCCATTTTCACAAGTTCTCCATCCCGGAATAAAGCTAATGTTTATATTGGCCCCATTCCCAGTAGCAAAAACCCTCCTTTTTTCCCATAAAAGCACCCCTATTTTCCCACTTATTATCATCATAAATTTGATCAAGATCAAAATACACTAAAAGTAAAGATATAAACATGTAATGAGCATAGTTGGAAAAGACTACTTTATACAATTCACATCGTTACAGAAAAAGCTTTTGCCAAAGGCTGCTTTGGCAATAAACTTGAAAGAGTTTTTTTTAAATAAAAGTACTGTACCAGTAATTTGCTTTAAGCCATGAATAGTTTGCTTATACTCATGTGAAAAAATGGCTCTATTAAACCCAAATTCCCTCACCCCCCCCCCCCCCCAAAAAAAAAACAACAAAAGTATAATTCGATCACCAACACATTTTGAAAAAGAGAGTATATACATATAAAATTTGAAAGGAGTATTAGTCAAATGAAACTGAACAAAATGAATTTCATTAATTATGAGTCTAATACCAGAATTGCTATTATCATCTGAATACATGCCTGCCATACAACATATTTGTTTTGGCAATAAACTTCTGTTTTCAGTAACACGAGTTTTTACTTCTTAAAATTGCTACACAAAACAAATTTCCAATTAATGATCAACATTCATATATATTCCCTTTTTCATAGGCCTGTGCCCCATTCCCATAATGGTATGAAAAATCACAGACATTTACATTAAAGTTGCAAAAATAACATGTATTTACATTAAAGTTGTAAAAATAACATGCATTATGTGACTAAAGTAAAGGCATATTTGAGTGTAAATGTCAGTTAAAGGATAGACCTTTAGAGTTTTCAAAATTACATCGTTTCCAGAAAGAAATCTTGAAAGGTTTTTGAAGAGAGGTGGATGTAAGCTAAAGTCTGTCCACTTCTCGAAAGAAATATAATATTAAACCTAATCTGACATCTGATATTTCACTGCATACATCACTTCATCAAGCAATATACAATTACACATGAACTAAAATATTTCAGATTAATTGAAAATCAGTATGTTATCAGTCCTTTATTTTGTTTATATTTCAACACATTCAAACTTTTTTTCTGGTACAAAAAAGCATAAAACAGTAAAGCCATATGTTACTTACTCGAGTACACCCTAAGTAAGGATGATAAAATATATCAATTGCATTGATAAGTCAATAAATATTTACATCCAAACCTGTATATTTACCAAGATATTCCATGGACTTTAGATTTAAATGTTTTTCTCTCTCAAATTCCCGGTGATTGATGTGCTTTGTCCACAAAATCAAACAGGAAATTAGACAAAGCATACAAAAGTTAAAAAGAAAACGATGGTAATAATATTTCCGGAATATGGCTGCGTCTGTGTAAATCGGGAAATCGAAAACCCTTTCTGTTTTGACTGCAAAGTCTTTATCGTTTCTTTTTCTGTAAGCGCGTTTTTGGATTTATTATCTCCTTTTCTCACACTTTTTTGTTATGGAGTTTCAGGTTGTAAGTAGGATCGTTCAGTATTAAAAACTTCGTATTTTTTAACCACAAAGTATATTCTCATTCCATTTTGTTTCAATGACAATTTTTTCTCTAACCTTAATGCAATATTACGAAAACTTGACATCATATTTGTAAATACAACCAAGCGTTGGGTCGTATTTTGTTTGGCATGTTGTGTATAGGCCATTGCTTTTATACTAAATTTGATTACGGAGTACTACGTATACTAGTGGACATGTATATCTATGTAGGCGAAAACCTGTCCACTTCTCAAAAGAGAATACACGTATTCCGTATCCTGATCAATACACAGAGCTCACGGAGACTGTGACCGATCAACAGGGGATGCTTACTCCTCCTTGGCACATGACCCAGGGGTCCGTAAAATAAAGAAACGTATACTTACAAATCATACACCTATATCATGAACAAAAACCGAAATCAAAGTCTACTATATGAAGGTATGTTTAAAGAGAAATTGCATTCTGATAATAACCTATTTGAAATTCAGCGAGAGTTTGAACAGGTTTCAAAGTCAAAACCCAAGATGATATTAAAATTTTACTACTGTCAGTAAAAAGTGCACCAGTCAACTACAAACTCGTCTCCCTTTATACCTCTGTTTGCACCAAGTCATGGAACAAATCGTCAACAGCCATGTGATTGGACACCTCGATTGAGAAGGCACACCGGCGGATTTCAGCTTTAGGAAACACCGTTCCACAATAACACAGCTCATCCTATCCATCAACAACCTAGCTAGGAGTTTGGATATAGGCGAGCTGTGTACTTTTCCCAAGCCTTAGACATGGTTCCTCACCAACGACGTCTGCATGTCGAGACTTAACCATTATGGCATTAAAGACAAAACACATGGTTGGATCGCAAGTTTTCCCCCCGTAACCACACTCAGTGTGTTGTTCTTGACGGTCAGTCATTATCTGCCACACCAGTTTCTTCAGGCGTCCCACAAGGAACTGTCCTAGGCCCATTACGGCTCCTAGTCTTCATAAAGGACATACATCAGCAAGCAGACTTTCTGCAGACGACTGCCTCTTGTTTCGAAGGATAAGGTCAAAAGAGGACCAAGAAATGTTACAGACTTTCACCATCTACAGCAGTGGGAAGACCGTTGGCTAATGAGGTTTAACCCGGACAAATGTGAGGTACTGCGGGTAACCAATAGAAGATTTCCACTACTAGCCAGTTATTCTATCCATGGCCAAGTCCTCAACACCATTGACTCTGCAAAGTATTACAGAAAAAAGCTTAGCAGGGATACACATGTGGATAGAATTACAAAGAACGCAAACCACCCTGGCTTTCCTAAGAGGGAACATCAGCCGATGCCCAACAACCATTGAGGCACAATGTTACTCCACACTAGTGAGACCAACCCTGGAGTAGACCTCTAGCGTCTGAAGCCCAGCAACCAAATATAACATCACTTAGCTTGAGGTGGTACAACGTAGAGCAGCAAGATTTACCACTGCATACTATCACCACACCAGTAATGTAACCTTTATGCTACAACAACTCCAGTGGCAAATCCTACAACAACGAGACACAGCACGAGTATGCTATAAGGATTGTATACCACCCAAAAGACATCCTAGCTTATCAACACCTACAGCATGCACTTCCCTGCAACAGTATAATTACGTGGTTCCCCATACCACACACAAGGACCACCCTTTGCCACTCTTCTTTCTTCCCCCAAGCGACAAGGCTTTGCAATATTGGAAACAGCTTCCAGGGGAGATAGTGGAGGCCAAGACACTGGACAGCTTTAAGGACGACGGACCTAATGCAAAATTTCGAGCCACTGCGCAGAAAACCGCGCATATGCCTTGAATCAAAATTATGTATTGCAAAGGATAAAAAATATACATTTTTCATTCTTTTAAAGATATTCAAACGTTTCCTCTCAATTCAAAAATATTGTAAATATTTCAATTTATATTCATTTGTTAATTTGATAAATACATGTAATTGATTTATTTGGCCAAGGTATTTTCATTGAAAATTTCCCCCAAAATGTGCCCTACACCTGCGTTTGACATGCCCCCCCTGAAAAATCTAAGCCGATGACCCATTTATTTTTTAGCATAATTTGCTGGTAAATTGTCTAGTTAGCATTGTCCTTTAATATGAATAAAAATTTTATTGCATAATTTTTTTCAATGATCACTCTTATACCCCACACTGGCAAATTCCCATTACTTCCTATAGTAATTATCGATTTCCATCACCAACTTTTGAAACACTCCCCATTAAAAATCTTTATCGATGACCATATGATTTTTTCATTGATTTTAACTCACAAAAAGTCACTTTACCTCATATTAAAATTTGAATAAAAAATCTATCGCAGAAATGAATTAGGTCCGTCGTCGTTAAGACCCAGCTGTTCAGCTCTGCAGCTCACTGAACAAAAGTGTTTCTATGATGCCTTTAGAGAGTTTACTGGCACTATATATAGATGCTCACCTTTACACACGGGAAGTATGAAGTGCGAAAATACTTGATATCAGCATGTTAAAGGGAGAAGAAGATGACGAACTTATAATATGTCACCCATAACAAAGCCAATCTAGATACCCTAAATATCTAGCTAAGGTCAAGGCTAGTATCGATACTACAGGTTGAATGAAATATATATAATCCCGATTTACTAATTACGTACGTATGCCTGTTTGAAGATAGAAAATCATAACAAATAAATCAGTTGTCCAATACAGAGTCGAATATAACAGCTAAACGAAATTGTTGACGAACAAACTGACATCACCAATCCATGGATAATCTGCTTAAGCATCACAATGTGGTAAGAAACCATTCTTGGAAAGTCTAACAACTCAAGTAAGAAATTGAATAAACTGAGCTCCTCAGATTGTCAAAGTATAAGAGTAGTAACATCTTACCACAAACATACTATTGTATACTATAAATTAAGCTACATTGTCCCTTGGCTCACAGACATAAAGTTAGTAATTTTTCAAAAGAAATCGTTTTGTTAAAATGCACATCATTTGCGGGGCAAATTTTGACAAAAAAAGCTTTTAAAAAGGATATCTCAGTGAGAGTTATCTCTCTTATCAGAGGGTCAATGAATCTTAAGGTCAATGAACCGAATCTCTGATGAAAGAAAAAAAACGAAACAGAGAATATTCAAGAGAGCATATTGTTTGTAAGCAGGGTTTTAGATAAAGGAATTTCGATCTTTGAATCAGTTTTGATGGAATGGTTTCTTACATTGTTCAACAATGTACCTCTTCCATTATCTTCAGGATTTAGACTATTTTGCATCGTCATAAATTGATAGAAAGTAAAGACAAATAATGACCCTCCAGCAACGGGCTCTTGTTTATGGACAACCCTTCATTAGTGTACGTTACTTGTTTTAAAGAGCCATAGCTGCCTTACCGACGACACGGCCGACTCAAGAATTTAAAAGGAAATCACCTGTTTCTATTTATAGATATACTGTACCTTTTCAATTCATGAGCAAACTATCTAATATGATTTGAGGACGAGTGTTGCAAGTATATCAAATGACAATCATTTTACTTGTTCAATACTCTAATTCTGAGACAAAAGATTTACGCAGAAAATCAATAAAAATAAAACAAGTTGTTATGAATTTGCAAACTTTAATAAAATAGTCAAGGACTGTCTTTTCCCGAGATACTTTCAAAGTGTAATGCGTATATTATATCTTTCTGAAATTGTGTATGTTATAAAACATAATAAAGAAAAACGTAGAAAAGATACACAAATGAAAAAAAATACAAAAAAACATAAATGGAAAAATGTGGGGCTCGAACTCGCAATCACCATATTTACATACCAGCAATCATACCGCTGCGCCATCGAAGTCAATGATGTCAAGTTGATAAATTTAAGACAGATTACTAAATCTTACGATTATATGAGAAGAAAAATTTAATATATATTTTCATCATTTTCAATATGAAGACCACCTTTAACCAAAATTATCTAAAGGGAATGAAGTGCAGACATATCCAAATAAAATTATTCAAAAGTTGTTTTTCTGGTTAAGGGTGGTCTTTGGCAACAGTTTGTCATCGTTAGGTGGATACCTTAATATTTACTATATATTCTATACAAACTGGATAATTTTCAAATTTATCATATGAGGGAACTATTAACATTTAAATATCATTTTTGTGTGATTTGGTTTTACGCATGTATAAACTAAGACTGTATGACAAAATTTTGGTTAAAAAATGTATTTAAGAAATCACTAGTAGAGTAGGCGAAAATGCCTATCAAATGCGCTATGGCTCTTTTGAATTTTACCTCCATCTAGTCAATTAAAATTTACAACATGATATATGAATTATTTTAGAGTTGATTGGTTGAAAATGAGTCTCGAACACAAAGGAATTAATTTGCGTCTTTAAATTGTTTATGTGACTTGTGCAAACAGCTATATTTACAAACTATCGGTATATCATTCTAATCTCACAGTATTCTCCATACATTATGTAGAGGTATATTAATCATATAACATTTTTAATCAGAAAACTCTTCATCAGAATTGTTTATTTGACAATTTTATAAGCGTCAATAAACAAAGGTTTTTTTTTATCCATTTACACTAATCTAAAACATTTAATCCAAGCATTGCACTCTGGGAAATATTTTAGTAATTTAAATGCCTGCTCTGTGTCCCCATAAGAATTAAAAATTTGTATGAATATAGATCGTATGATTGTTCGATCTGTTTTAAAACCCATTCTCACTATTACCGTATATATATGGCAATAGAGTACAAGAACGTATAAAACATCACCAGATCAATGACAGGTTAAGTCTGTGGTATGGATAATTAGATTGATATTGGATCATTTTTTCGGAAAGGTATTCCTGGTTTTGAAGATGGGTAAGAACAACAGCAAACTGGAGCCAGGGACGATCGAGGAGCTGAGTAAACAAACCGAGTTTTCAGAACAGGAGCTGCAACAATGGTACAAAGATTTCATGAATGACTTCCCGAAAGGTTATGTAAAGCTGCACGAATTTGAGAAGATGTACGAGGGATTTTTCCCTAATGGAGATGCATCCAAGTTTGCCAGACACGTTTTTCACGCGTTTGATCAAAATGGAGATGGGCACATCGATTTCAAAGAATTTGTCTGTGGGTTGAACGCCACACTTCGGGGAACAATAGAGCAGAAGCTCAAGTGGGCTTTCAGGGTGTACGATATTCACGAGGATGGGTTTATTTCCAAGGATGAAATGAAGGATATTATCTCAGTAAGTCAAAAACAGACATCTTTACATTGTAAAGGCAAGTCTTATCTCGATTAAGAACTTTTTGAAAAAAAAGTATACGTATGTTTTATATTGTTCTTGCAACCAATGGTGAAAAGAAATTTTTATTCAAATATCATTGTATATCAGTCATTTATATCTGATTTTGTTTTTAAATCGTCAATATGTTTTTTTTCCCCAAAAATAAGAAAAAATCAGATCTAAGTATTTAAATCTTCATCAGAATCCGATCAAAATGAGGGGGGGGGGGGGAGTTTGCGAGAATATGCGTCGTTTTGAAAGAAAAGGTTTACGTTTACTTTATTCTGATTTCAGGCTATTCATAAAGTGACTGGCAATAAAAGAGACACTTGTAAAGAGAAGTCTTTACAACAGGAGATTGAAGAAGTGTTCCAGCGGATGGATAAAAACGCCGACCAGAAAATCTCCCTCAAAGAATTCGTAGAAAACGCGGCCAAGGATCCAGGTTTAGTATCGTTACTTGAACTACATCAGACTACTGACAAGTGTTCCAAATAAGGAAGAGGAGAACAGTACTAAAAATGACCCAGAGATGCAAAGATTCCAATGATGTCACCATTCCGATATAATATCAAATGATGTAAATCTGGGCAAGACCAGATTGAGGGAAGTTTTGCTTGGAATCAATAGGAAACACTCGGGGTATTTTTCAATATTGTAAACAGCTATCAGAATTACATTATCATCATTGATAAAGCTCTATGCATCACATGGAATTACCTCTCTGTCATATATACGACAGTCAAGCAGTCATTGGGGTATTGATTATGTGGAAGTAATTTCAAATATCGCAGCCTGATTAAACTTATCATTGATAATAATCTTTTCTGGATCAATAGTACATGTACTAGAGCAGAAACAGAAAGTGGATAATTTTTTTTTCAAATTAATTTATTATTGTTCAGTCCGCAGAAAGATATGGAAATGTTATGAACCAAATGGTCTTGCATACTTGTGGTCTAGATACGAGTATCTTGACACTTATTTAGTCATGACCTGAGTATTGGAAAACTTAATCCAATCCTAATCGATTTCTTGCATGCTTTATTAAATATTCTAATGTATAAACTCATGGTATATTAGGAAGAGTATGTTAAATTTAAATTACTTATCAACAAGCTAACACGAACGCGATATAATATAATTATAATACAAATAAAAAAAATAAGAGAAATTATAAAATGCATTCTATTTTGGGGAAAAAAGGTAAAAACAAACTTTTTTTCAGTTTAAACTTTCTAGAAAATAAATATTTCACCTTCAACTAGTGAGTTTTAATTTATAAAAAAAAATATTTAGAAAACCATACGACTGAATTAAAACAAGAGGTCCACGAGCCACTTCGCTCACTTGAGTCAATATGCCCCTGCTTTTCTTTAGCAGCAGATTTTCTCTCCAAAATATTCCTAAGTGAAATTTTGATCCCCTGTTTTATCCCCACCCTACCCCTAGGTGTCATGATTAAAAAAAACTGAACCTAAATTATCTGATGGCTATGCTGTTCTTGAGAAGAAGATGTTAAAAGAATTTTTCCAATATGTTCCTTTGTAAAACTTTGATCCACCACTGTGGCCCCACCCTCCCCCGGGGGTCATGATTTGAACACACTAGAATCAACACTACCCGAGGATGCTTCCATATCAATATGACTAATCATAGCTTTGTTGTTCTTGAAAACAAATTTTTAAATTCTTTTCCAATATATTCCTATGTAAAACTTTGATCCCCCATTGCAACCCCGCCTTATCCACTGGGGTCATGATTTGAACAAAATTAAATCTACACTACCTGGGGAATACTTCCATATTAATGTGACTAATCATGGCTTTGCTGTTCTTAATCAAAAGATTTTTTCCTATGTATTCCTATGTAAAACATTTATCAACCTTGATCCTTGATCAACCGCCATTGAGGCCCCACACTATACCAGAGGTCATCATTTGAACAAACTTAAATCTATAATATGTTATGAAGATTTCACTTATTAAATCTAAACGTTTTTGGCCCAGTGGTTCTTGAAAAGTGCCACCAAATTTTCACTTACCGGTATTCTACGTATCTCCCCTTGAAAGAGGATGTGACCCTTCATATGAACAGATTTGAATCTCCTTCACCCAAGGAGGCTTTGTGGCAAGTTTGGTTAAAATTGGCCAAGTTGTTCTGGAGAAGTCGAAAATGCGAAAAGTTTACAGACGGACAGACAGACAGACAGCTAGATGGATGCCAGACAAACTGTGATCAGAAAAGTTCACTTGAGCTCAGGTGAGCTAAAAATACTGGTTTTGCTACTGATCTAATATAAACACTAATCATTCCCCCAATAAAATCAAAACCTGTCGCTTTTGCCAAGGTCTCCTGTCCGTCTTTCCCACAAATCGTCCTTGAGTTGATGAACCTAAACTAATTGCGTGTGTATTTGTTTGTATTCGAAAAATGTGTTTTGATAAATATATGATTCAAGTTTACATGTCCAAGGTAAAGGGCAATATTAGCAATGAGATTACAAGATCATATGAGTTGCTAGAGTTAAGAGATCATAGTTAATAGATCATATGAGTTGTTAGAGTTAACTCAAGATATACATGTACCGTATGTATCCTGAGATACAAGAACAAATCAAACTTTTTCTTTCAGAAAGCATAATCCGATCTATGAATTGATAATATTCCGCCGTTAGATAGTGTATTTTCCCTAACAATATCTTGTTACAAATTCTAAGCTCCTTGGGTAAATAAAGGTGTAATTTTTGTACAAATACGTACGTGCTTTTTTGAACAGGGAACTCTTTGCCTTTTTCATCTAAACACCATCTTCGCTAGCCAATTCGATGACACAAATCGGAAACGATGTCAAATTCCAAATTTCAAGGTAAAAGCAACAGTGATATCTAAAACACGTTTCGATGCCCAAAATAGGTCACCACAACAAATAATGAGTATCGAGAACGACTAAACAGGTAAAAGTATTTTTTTTTCTTGTTACCTTCATTCATGGCAATTTTGAAAATTCCCCCCCCCCCAAAAAAAAATAAAACCTTAGATCTGTAGAAATCCATGGGCAACAACGCTCACGTGAGTAACTATGTCTTTATCTTCATCAGCAGATTTTTCTTCCTGTATATTTGATCACCCATTGTAGCCCCGCCCTACACCAATGGGTCATGATTTGAACAAACTTAAATCTACAATACCTAAGGATGCTTCCTAATAAATATGAATAATCAAGGTTTTTCTGTTCTTGAAAAGATTTTTAAAGATTTTTTGTATGTATTCCTATTGCCCTTTGTGGCCTCGCCCTATCCCTGGGGTTCAAAATTTGAATAAACCTGCATCTAAACTTCCTGTGGATGCTACCATATAAATGTGACTACTCATGACTTTGCAGTTCCTGGGAAAAGATTTTTTCAATATTTTTCCTGTTTTCCTATGTAATACTTTGATTGCCCATTTTGGCCCACCCTACCCTCGCGGTTAAGATCAAGCATAAATCAATAATCCAGAAGTGAAAAAAAGAATTAGATAGATTACAAGATCAGTACGTACTGGTCCCTGCTGACAAAGCAGGTAACAACATTGTCTTTGTTTGTAAGGCTCATTATATTAAATGTATTTTGGAGGAACTTGGATTTAATTCTACAAGTGGTAATCCAATTTATACTCATAGTTCCCTTTCTAAGGAATAAATTCTTCAAAATCATATGCCAGTTTTGAATATTTTTAATATTCCAAACAACCAAAATGAATTAGAATTACCATATTTATATTGGATTCCGAAACTTCATAAAAATCCTTACAAACAAGGATACATAGCGGGTTCCAGTAAATGTTCTACCAAGCCTCTTTCTTTACTCCTTACTAAAATATTAACAGCAGTGAAGGAGAAACGTCAGGAGTACTGTGCAACAATATATTCGAGAAGTGGTGTAAATCAGATGTGGATACTTAAAAATTCCAAGGAACTTTTGGAAATTTTGAAATCACAAGATTTTACCAAAATCAACAGCTTAAAAACTTACGATTTTCAACTTTATACACAATCATTCCCCACGATAAATTAAAGTCCAGGCTTTTTGATATCATTGACAGCTGTTTTTTCAATAAAAATGGAACTCGTAAATTTACTTACCTTGTCATTGGTCATTTGCAAAATTAATTTGTTAAAAAACATTCTGATTGTACACACAAGTACTCTGAAGTTGACATTAAAAAGATGCTTGATTTTCTGATTGACAATATCTATGTGGTTTTTGGAGACCAGGTCTTCCAACAATCTATTGGAATTCCCATGGGTACCAATTGCGGCCCGTTATTAGCAGACCTTTTTTATATTCATATGAAGCAGAATTTGTCCAAAATCTTATACGTGAAAAGAAGAAAACACTTGCTGTGGCCTTCAACTCGACATTTATAGATATATCGACGACGTATTGTCAATTAAACAATGGTTATTTCCATTCTTATGTCGATACGATATATCCTGGTGAGCTTAAGATAAAAGATACCACAGAGTCCGACACATCCGTTTCATATTTGGATATTTTACTTGAAAAGGACGTTAATGGTAATCTAACAACCAAGCGTTATGATAAACGTGATGACTTTAACTTTTCAATCGTCAACTTCCCTTACTTCTGCAGCAATATACCTTCATCACCTGCATACGGGGTTTATATCTCTCAGTTGATTCGATACGCAAGAGCATGCTCTACGTATGTACAATTTCTAAAACGAGGTAAATTATTGACAAACAAGTTGATGAAACAAGAATATCAGCAGTCTCGTTTAAAGTCATCATTTCATAAGTTCTATGGTCGATACAATGACCTTGCCAGCAAATACAATTTATCATTTAGTCAAATGCTGACTGACGATTTTCATAATAATTGTTAGACCATTATTTACACACTGAATTGTCGACGGATTTTTCCGTTATTTCCCGATCATGACAAGGAGCACACGGCGGGTGTGACCGGTCGGCAGGGGAGAGTGGGGTCTGTCAGCTAACATCCGCAACTGTACTCGGCAATGCTGGTACCGGTGTTGCATAATTTACGTTCCGGATACTTCGCGTTCCGGCCGGAACCTTAAAATCATAATATTGGTTTCGGATTTTACTGTAAGTTTGGTTCCGGCCATGGCTGCAATCTTCGAATCGCGGTATCTCTCAATTATTATCTGCCATTCTACACTGAGCCATAGAAGTATTTCTTTCCTTGAGGATTAAGCATGGCGCAGCGGCATGCCATTTTCATGTGGCGCAGTGTTCTTTTTATAAGGCGTCATGCCCTTTTGTACAGCCATTTTTAAAAATAAATGAATAAATAGGCAAAGTAAAGATCGCTATCTGATATATACACACCGAATAAGATTTGGTCGCATGAAAGGCTTTGTTTATCTAATGCATACAAATTAAGTCCCTTTGTTTATTTAGTGCATGTCAGGTGTGAATTTCTCGCTTGAATGCATGCAGACCCGGTATTTACAGGGTAAAGGGGATAGAAGATAAACTAGACCGAG